GGCTTAGAAGAGTAATCTCTGTTCCGCTAAATGCATTTTTGCTTATTTTTTGTTGTTTGGAGGATATTTCATGGTTGATAGAAGCATGTTTATTTTAAACAAAGGCAGAGCTCTAATTACAAGTTGTATTCCAAAAACTTATTTGTCCCTAAATTGTTTAGAATTTGAAATGCCCTTCCTCTGGGCCAAAAAAAAAAATTATAAATCACAACTAAGTTCTCTGGCTTGTCCAACAAGCCCGTAGTATAGATAAAACACATTTGCTATGTCTTAAAAGTCCCAAATGTTTACAATAGAATTATAAAAAACAAAATTAGGATATGATGGGGCAGGAAACAGCAAAACAGAATGTCCAGAGTTAACTGGAAAAGTAGAATAGAAGGGGAAAAGAAACATGTTGAATGGGTATCTCTGAGAAAGAGACTTCATCAAGTAGAAACAGCTAACATATAAATGCTGAGAGAGAAAAAGACTAGAATATGACTCAAATCAGAAGATAGGAAGTAATAGAAAGCAAGGCTGGAGGAAAGAGTTCCTTACTAGACCCACAAAGACTGAATTTGGAGTGTGGCAGCAAAGTCACGCGAACAGAAGAGGCCTTGGTATAAGGGAAGGAGAGTCATGTTTGTACCTGCAGGATGGCCTTACTTGTACGTGCCAGATAGTCACATTGAGTTGTTTGTACCTGAGCAAATGCCCAATGGCTAGATCCTAATTCTGAATCCAAGTTATTGTAGGGGCCCTGTTTGGTCTCTTAAGTAGATTGGCCTTAGTTGTAACTTTTATTTATAGTCCATTCACTGTCTTTTCCTTCTCCCTTTTATAGCAATAACTAGAGGCCCAGTGCATGAAATTCATGCATGGGTAGGGTCCATAGGCCTGGCCAGTGATCAGGGCTGATGGGGCCTTCCGGCTGCCAGCAGGGGCCTCCCTTCCCCAACTGCTGGCTGCCAGCCGCCGGCCTGGGCCTTTCTTCATTCCGCACCACCCCCTGGTAGTCAGCGCATGTCACCACAGCGAGCGATAGAACTCCTGGTCTCCCGGTTGAACTCCCGTGGGAACACTTTGCATATTAGCCTTTTATATATAGAGATTATATTACATTATTACATATATTATTATATATTATAGTGATAATTGTTATTATTCATTAATAAAATACTTAATCTTCTTCCTGAATTTACACCTAAGTGTCATCTCTATTAGTGCATCTATGTTTGAGTTCATGCCCTTCAACTGGCCATCTGAATAAGTAGTTGCACATTTACTAGTAGTCTTTCCATCTTGCCCTTTTCCAAGTCAAAGTGTCACTAGGTCTAAGTGAAAACACAGTGCATTCATTCATTCATTCATTCGACCAAAGGCTGACCTTGAGTATAAGGCACTGTGTTAGGTCCCGCAGTAAACACAACAGTCTTGTTGGGTTCCCAGAAATCTTTGGCACATTTTATTAGAAAATGTAAAACAAATACCACAAGGAGCAAATAGAAGACTTCTCTGGCCTCTAAAATGCTCTGGTTATCTTGAAATAAAATGCAAAACTATCGCTGGATTGATGCAATGCAAGTAAGATTAAGAGCAAAGAACTATCCTGAATATTCTCCATGCTGTATTCTTAGAGATAAGATAATGTGTTACAAGAGGAAGGACAGAGAAGCTAACATTCACACCCAAATTTCTGATAAACAAGGCCAACTACTGCTACTTACAAAGATGCTCTGGTCATTTTGCAATAACATGCTAAACTATGGCTGGACAGATGTTAAATTTCATAAACCAAAGAGCAATGTCAATTCCAAGTCAGATTAAGAGCAGAGAATTATCTTGAATATTTGCCATGCTGTATTCTAGAGATAAAATAATGTATGGTAAGCGGAAGCAGAGAGAAACTAATAAAATTAATAACATCCACACCCAAGCCCTAGCTGGTTTGGCTCAGTGAATAGAGTGTCAGCCTGCGGACTAAAGGGTCCCAGGTTCGATTCAGTCAACACTTGGAGTGCGGGTGAATTTCCCGCCAAAATATAAGATGGCTCTGTCTTTTGGTTTTGTTCCATCCACCAAAAGGGTGGATTACAAACAAATATTTGGTAATACGCAGTTACAATCGGCCCGAGTTTACACGTTTCCCGCACTCCACCGCAAAGCAGCCTTCACTCACCACCACTGAGACACAGGGGTCTATGTATTCAAAAGTACAGCAGAAGGTCGCAAACAAAAATAATGCTGTAGAACAGCAAACGAGAATAAAGAAATTTACTGCCGTGTGATTGAAAGTTATCTGACCCTAATTACGCCAGGGACAAGGACATTTTAAATAAATGTTCAAGTCCAACCTCAGTGGAAGTGGACATTTCAGTTCAAAAGTTAATTTGGAATCAAACAAAGGTATTTAACATGCCTACTGAGGCATCTAGAGAATACTACTTTCTATACAAGTAGAAAACGCTTGTTGGAGTTTTCTGCAGAATGGCTTAGTGCCTAGAAATAAGCATTTCCAGGGCCTACGGCCAAAAGTCCCCAGAGCAGAGCCAGCTGGTCTCCCCCTGGGATCAAACTCGATTCAGGAGAACCAGGGCGGGGCAGGATCTTCCCCTCCGTACCCACCCTCACATACCTACTCCTCATTTAAGTTTATCTGAAATATCTTCAGAAAAATGCAACAGTCATATTGTCACTGATTATCTCCTGCAAGGCGAAGCTTGTGTTTATCCTGCTAGGACCTCCCCAGTGGCTGGCCTCATCACCTCAACACCAGATGCAATGAGTCAACCCATTTCTCCAGCTTTGTGAAGAGTGTGCTCATGTTAAACCTGAAAAAGGAATCCCATAATTGCAGCTCCTTTCCAGAAGACATGTCCCAGAGCTCTTTGATGACAACTGTCACGTTCCTTTTGTAGACTTTTCCCTTTGGAACTGCATCGTTTGGAAAAGGTCTGAGGGGGAGGAAGGGGATTGAAGTAGGGAAGGGAAAGAAGAATGAGTAAATTAAGAGTTTCAAAAATACAGCAATGTGTTTTGGTGGATATTAATGCCCACAGTACTACATTGAAAGACATGGGGCAAAAATTCTTTCCAATTCAATTTGTGTGAGAGCAAAAGACCCCACCTCATGAGATTTAAAAAAAAAAATTCAGGATTGTCCTACTTGTGGAAGTCCTAGCACACTTCCATGTCAAATACCGAGTTGTGTCATCAGAGCATAACGGAATGTGGTTTCACCAGGGGATTGCAGAGGCCAAAGACTGGAATGCATGTTCCAAAGGTACACCTTCACTGACGCTGATTGTGGATCTCTGAGTAAATGAGCAGGAAAGATTTAGAAACTAAATTCAGCAACTGGAAATTTAGCAACCTTTCAAGAGTTTGGGCAGTTAGATATGATTTCACATTGGAGTGCACATACAGATTCAATGTATAATTGCTGAGTACCTTGCAGTGTGCTAAATACTGAAAGTACTGATACTAAATAATTTAAGTGATCTGAATGTAAAAGCTAAGGTCTCCCATTAACAAAAGCTAAAAAGATGACTCCAACTGAGTTCTCATCAATATCATGTGTTCTAGACTTAAACTGTGGTACATGATGCAAAAATATATCATGAGATAAAAATATATGTGATCTGGGACACTACTCTTTGAATCTTAGGCTTATTTTTTTTTTTAATCCTCACCCTAGGATATATTTATTGTATTGATTTTAGAGAGGGAAAGAGAGAGGGAAACATTGATGGGAGAGAGAAACATCGATTGGTTGCCTCCCCCACGTGCCCCAACCAGGGATCGAACTCTAAACCTGGGTATGTGCCCTGACTGGGAATTAAACCCGAGACCCTTCCGTGCACAGGAGGATGTTCCAACCAACTGAGCCACACTGGCCAGTATATGACATTATCTCTTTACTCTAGGAATGTTGGTTCCTCAAAATTCATCTCCATGATACCCAAAACAGTGAAAATGTAAACTCCTATGAAAGGAAAAAAAGGTTTCAAAATCAGAAGAGATATTCTCTACACAGCATTGTTCAATCATAATATGTAAGTGAGGATATATTTTAGGGTACACTGTACACGGAAATCTGTTCTTTCCAAATAACACAATTTACTTCCTCATATACATTGTTCCATTTGATCCTCACAATAATCCTATGCGTTGTGTAATGGGTTGATGTCTTCATTTTAACACAGAAGAAACTGAGTTTTGGGGAGAGAGAGGTTACACAAGGCCTCAGCAATTAATAACAGCCATAAAACCAATAACACGTGTTTCTGACGCTCAATCCAGCCCTTCTCACCACAAATCTAGACTGAAAAACAACCCCTTCATGTCATCAACTTGACTGTTGATCCTGCAACTATCATCATAAAACAGCTGAGGAATAATGAGGATTTTTGTTATCAACAAAAACCGTGTAATCTATGGTTAAAAGAGTGGACACTCACATGACATGCATATTGATGGGTTTTCTGAACAGCTGCAAGAAAATTCCTAAACAGAGCCCAAAGAAAAAGTATTTTCTAAAGTTCCTGATAAAACCTGAGCTCTGTTAAATCTTTTCGAGTGGAATCAGTTAAGAATCAGAAAAGTCATTAACACTGCACCCCGAGCCGCCCAGAGCCCGCCCTGCGGGGTAAAACACCATGGGTGGTTCCTAAGACCAACAGCTTTCCAGCTGGTCACTTCCCCTCTAAACACCTGGTACTCTCTGTGGGTTACAGGTGACATTTCTAAAGATCACATTATTTGTTTTAGCAGCCTGCTTTCGTAAACAGACTCTTTTATGAGCATCAGCTAATACCACTGAGAGTGAACTATCCCCCTGGGGTAAGAAGGAGGCACGGGAGTAATAAGCATGTATTCCGCCTGCAGAGCGGAGCGTGAAGGTGAACATCTGAATACAGGCTGCCTCTCTCCGGACCCCCGGTGCTGACGGCGGGGGGGACCGCAGCAGCCGGGCGCCGCCCTCCCCGCCCGGGGTGCCGCGCGGGCCGCGGACCTACCAGCGACAGCACTTTATAGGTGTTGGGGTCCTTGGCCGGCCGGGCGCGCGCCGCCTTCTCCAGCGGCTCCTCCCCCAGGTCCATGGGGGCCAGCAAGGACGCGGCCGTCTGCGGGTCCCCGGGCGCATCGGCGCCGTGGCCGCGGCTCGGGTCGCGGCCGTTCCCCGCCGGGCCCTCCCGGCGGCCGTGCCCGCCCTCGCCGCGGCTCCCACCCCCTGCATAGCCGTCGCGATCCATAGTGGCCCCGGCGCTCCCGCCCCGCCGCCCGGACGCGCCTTTAATAGGCTCCGCGGCGGCCCCGCCCCGCCCCGCCCGCGCGCCCGCCCCTCGCCGCCAGACCCCTGGCCACTCGCCCGCCGCCCGGCGCTGGAAGACGGGGGAAAGCAGCTCAACGCCCCGGATTATTTGGCTTCCTGTCTGATTTCGGCCACTCGGCCTGTCGGTTATTTTGGGTCCTGGACGTGGGCGTGTCTTTAACTTTCCCCAAAGCCTTCCCCGCCCCGCGCCCGGGCACCTTCCGAACACTTGGAGGAATCGCCCTCCGTGGCCTCGCGTCGCGGGCTGGACTGGAATTGCAGTGTGGTCTGCAGAGGGCATGAGATCATGGGGCCCCAAAATAGAGCAGGAGGAGAAGGATGCAGCGGCCAGGGTGCAGGGTGGGAGAGTGGAGCCGGACAGACCCGTGTTTCTGGATGCACATGCAAATAGACCACAGGGACGAGCATGGGGCACGTCGAAACGAACAAGAATCCCTTCAAAGCCCTGCTACCCACTACCTACCCTAGTCAGACAGGAGCGTCCAACCTTGAAGATCTGGTTTTACAAAACACACACGAAAGGAACACTTAGTTTTCTGTGTGTGTGTTGTTTTGTGTTTGTTTGTTTTTTGGGGGGAGGAGGGGGGCTCTGGCTTTTTGTCCTTGACCTTGTTTTAAAATATTTACTTATTAGTTCTTTTACACTTTCTATATTGAAGGTTTCCAAGTATCCTGTTGCCTGCCCTATCCTGAAGTTGACGCTGATACTTGATAACTAATATCAAACAGTTAATTCAATCTGAAATACTTTCATAGTTTTTGACCAGGACAGGAACAGTAGGCCATAATTCTTGGTGGGTGTTGATTCACCTTTGATTCTACAACTTTTACATTTCCTTGCTTGTCAGTTAGAAAAGCCACAAATGTGTAGTGAAGGGAGTCTTGCCTGTCAAGGGGAAACCAGTGACTTCCAGCGGCTTTGCAATACTCTGGACTGCCTTCCCTGACGAAGGAGACTTATACAATCCAAAACAGTTCATTTTCAATGCATTTTGATTACACAAATATATTACACAAATGTTTCTAAGAATGAGAACTGGTGTTTAACAGATATAAAGCGTGTGTTGTCCCCTTTGAAGTAGTCAACTTGGGATGGTTTCCCTTTATATTGACTCATTCATTCATTCAATAACAATCCTTCAATTCAAGCTTTGCATACCACATCAAAGATGAATAAAAGTAAATCTTTCCCAAGTGGCTTTCAGTCTGGTCCAAGGGAGTGAAGGCAATAAACAAAAAATTAAAACCCAATTCATATATGCATTGTAGAAGCACAAATAGGATATTTTGAAAGCTTGCTGGAAAGAGTAATAAAGACCTGGAAGAAGTAAAGACAATCTGTCAAAGCATTATTGAGATTTTCTTTTTATTATTTATTACTTTTGAGTCAACTTACAAGCCACCCAAAAGAAACAAGTTTTCACCATTTCGTAGTCACACATATTTTTTACCCCAATCTTGGCTCCCAATTTTCCCTTAACTGGTTCCAAAAATCAGAGTCAAGGACAAAGATTTGCTCAAAGGTGACTGGTCAAATGAGTGTCAAAACTTCTAAAAGCAACTCAACAGAGCCATTCCAAAGTGGCTTTGAACCTGACAAAACAAACGGAATAAGTGTATTGTCTGCATCCCAAGACCATAAATCACTTTAGAGACTTGTACTATTGGAAAAGTCAGCGCACACTCCGAACTCAAACGTCGGGGCGTCCGCAGGAACAAAAAATAAGTGAGGCAGCCTGCCCCCTTCCAGTGAACAATGGGCCCCGTTAAAGGGGGCAACATTTGCTCCTCAGTGAGGGGATTGTGTGCCCCTTGTGGCAATAGATTTCTCAAGAGAAACAGGAAATTTAGATGTTTGTATGAATTCTCCAGATTGCAAAATCTTGTCTACAAAATTCAGAAAAACCATTTCTTTAAACACTTTAAAAGCCAAACAAAATGTAACACATCTGCAGGGTGGGCCTGGCACACAGGCCACCAGGATGTGGCCTCTGCCTTACGCTCAGGCCTGGCCTGTGCCAGTTGCGACTTTTATGGGCAACTATAAAAATCCAATGGCAATTCTAAAATCAGAGGAATAAAAACGAATCAAGTATGCCACTCATATTGTTGAGCTGTAGGCATCGCAATGCCTGTCATTAAGCCTTGCCTTGGTCTTATTTAGATTCTAAATGGTCTGTGGGACAGCTTTACACTCCAAAGTACAATGAGGTCATGAGATAGAAAACTGCAACACAACTGGGTCCTCCAGTTAGTACAAAGTGAAAAGTGAAGGAGACTTATACAATCCAAAACAGTTCATTTTCAATGCATTTTGATTACACAAATATATTACACAAATGTTTCTAAGAATGAGAACTGGTGTTTAACAGATATAAAGCGTGTGTTTCACTCTTAGTCCTAAAACTCTCTGCTCTAATGATCGAGGCCTCTAGTCTAGTGCAGCAGTGAAGATGACAGTTTAAGATTTTAGAAGACCTTAACTTTTAAGACCTTAACAGACGTATTTAAATATTTTTTCCCCTGGGTGCTTTAGATGTAGATCAGACCAAAACACCAAACAAACCCCATGTATCTATGTTTGAACTACAACTTCTCAAGGCTGAGAAACAACTCCTCAGCTTTTAGAAAATGAAACATGCTGTAGAGTAATTATTTTTGCAGCTGCTCCAGAGCTTCCCCACTTCCCCCCATTCTCTGGTGAAACACCAACGACATCTAGCCCAGGCTAAAACAGAAAAAACCGCAAGGCCCTTTCATCCTTACGAGACTTAGAAAAAAACACTTCTGTGACGTTAATTTATGTTTAAGATGTTTTATATGACATCTTAATTTCCCTTTCTTTTTTGCAAGCACAGAAATAGGCCCTCTGGAGGAAGCGTGGATAACTATGTGACCTGGTACAGATTCCAAGAACTCTCTGAGATTTGGTTTTCTCACTTATAAAATGCCATTACAGCCCCGCTAGTGTGGCTCAATGGTTGAGCGACAACCCATGAATCAGATCACAGTTTAGTTCCTGTCAGGGCACTTGTCCAGGTTGTGGGCTCAAGCCCCAGTAGGGGGCGTGCAGGAGGCAGCAGATCAGTGACTCTCTCTCAATGATGTTCCTGTCTCTTCCTCTGCCTTCCTCTCTGAAATCAATAAAAAAATATTTTTAATGGATTACAAATAATATCATAAAAGTACACTGTGATCTCTAAATGCCAACAAAATGTTTAACATTTCCCAGCTTGACATAAAAGTTTAAACGTGTTTTTTTATATTCGTCACCCAATTCTTACCTTTAAGACAGAGAATATCCCTATTTCATTGTTCCATAAATTAAGCATGATTTATACATAATTTTTGGGAAGGCTTGAGCGCTACTTTTGGATATGCATCTATAGAGGGAGAGCCTGTGGGGGCAGGAAGGACTTCTTGCCCCTCTGGGGCAAGCTGTTGTCAGAATGAGTGAAGTGAACCCAAAAGTGCAAGGTGCAATTGAGAATACTAGAAACTGTGGAAAAATGGAAGATGCATAATACCCCCTCTAAAGGCACCTGCTATCAGTTCTTCACTTTTTGCTTGTCCACACTCTCTGGCCCTCCCCACTGTCTCTTGTACCTCATTTGGCACAAAATCTAGAGTTGCCAATAATCTGCATTTATGCCTTTCACTTTGTTATTGTTTTCTTTCCCCCCCCCTCCCTTCTCCTTCCTTCTCCCTTTGCTATTGTTTTCTATATGCTTCATGTCTTTTAATTTTTTTATTTGTCCTCTGTTTCTCCTTCACTTCTTTAAATTTGTCTTAGACCTATTTTTTATTATACCACTAGAGGCCCAGTGCACAAAATTCATGCATGGGGAGGTGGAAGGTCCCTCAGCCCGGCCTGCACCCTCTTGCAATCCAGGACCCCTCGGTGGATGTCCAACTGCTGGTTTAGGCCCGATCCCACCTCTTTCAATCCGGGAGCACAAAATTCATGCATGGGGAGGTGGAAGGTCCCTCAGCCCGGCCTGCACCCTCTTGCAATCCAGGACCCCTCGGTGGATGTCCAACTGCTGGTTTAGGCCCGATCCCACCTCTTTCAATCCGGGACCTCTGGCTCCTAACCACTGGCCTGCCTGCCTGATCACCCCTAACCACTTCTGCCTCAGCCCCTGCCACTGTGGCTTCATCCAGAAGGACATCCAGAATGACATCCAGAAGGTCATTCGGCTGTCCAGTCTAATTAGCATATTATGCTTTTATTATTATAGATGTTAATTTCTCTGTTGGATTTTAGCTTTTTTTAAAATGTGATTTTCTTACTAGTTGCTCTGGAGGTTATAATGCACATTAGTTTATCATCTACTTCAGATTAATACTGACTTAATTTTGATAAAATATAACATTTTTCCTGTGATACATCTTCATTTTCATTGGAGAAAATAAAGCAGAGCCTTTGGGCTCTAGGACTCCAGGCCTGAGATACAAGAAGTTACCATATCAGAATTGACATTCAATAAACTGCACATATGTAAAGGATAAAAGAAAAAAGACATTACCATATTAATATATTTAATTAGTTACCATATAATTACCAAAGTAATATATTTAGTATGGAAAATAGATTGAAAATCTTTATACAGAATGCTAATACACCAGCCCTCTGAACACCCATTAACCGATTACCTACTGTACACTGCACTAGAAACACTGGGGATAAAGAAGAAAAGCAAGAATAATCCATCCTGTGGAATCACAGAAGGAAGGTGGAGGAGGGTGGGTAGGTGAGAAGAGATCAACCAAAGAACTTGTATGCATACTAGTATGTGCATAACCCATGGACACAGACAATAGGGTGGTGAAGGCCTGGGGCAGTGGGATGGGGAGACAAGAAAGGGTCAGTGGGGGAAAAGGGGAACATATGTAATACTTTCAACAATAAATATTTTA